ACCCCAGCCTCGCTCTGGAGGATTGTGGAAGTCACTAAGGATTTGAGGTTAGCTAAACTGAGAACATCCGATCATATGAGTTTCTGTATTTGTTAAGTTCATTTAGAAACTATGTCTAATGGGAAAGGGAAATATGATTGCTTAAAAGAAGTTCTTATACTGGTTGTCATGGCGGAAACTCCCAAACATAGACATCTTCTTTTTGAATCTTTGGTAGCTTTTTTTTTTTTTTTTTTGCCAGTCCTGAGGCTTGAACTCAGGTCCTGGGCACTGTCCCTGAGCTTCTACCACCAGAGCCAGAGCACCACTTCTAGCTTTTTCTGTTTATGTGGTACTGAGGAATCGAACCCACGGCTTCATGCGTTCTAGGCAAACACTCTACCACTAAGCCACACTCCCAGCCCCTCTCTGGTAGCTTTCAACAAAGCAATTAATGGAATTATGAAACAAGAAGTATAAGATGTCAGTATCCAAATTTAGACTAAGTCCTAGAGACCGGATTATCATAACAAGTCAGATAGCATTGCTGTTAGGAAAATGGAGGAGAAAGGAAGGAAACAGGCCGGACTCAATCTTCCACAGGTGAGGACTGTTAATTGATAGAGAAACAAGGGACACAGCCTTCCTGTGGGCTTGGAGACTATGCGAGGGGGTGAATTTGGGATCAGGCTTATATAGGGACTGAGCAAGGAAGCAGAGGTAAATGAAAAAGCCATTAGGTCTAGGGAGTTGGGAGCTTTTTAACTGGGCTCACAATGGAATGTTTACAGCTGGGCTTATGTGGATTGTCCTGCTGGCACATCAAGCAAGTCCACTCATACCTGGGGTTTTGCCTAGAGTCTGTATGTGCCTGTAATAGTGTGTGTGTGTGTATGTGTGTGTGTGTGTGTGAGAGAGAGAGAGAGAGAGAGAGAGAGAGAGAGAGAGTGGTGTGTACTGGAACTTGAGCTTGGCCTCATTTTTTTTTTTTTTTGGTTGGTTGTGGGGCTTGAACTCTGGGCCTGGGCGCTGTCCCTCAGCTCTTCAGCTCAAGGCTAGCGCTCTACCACTTGAGCCACAGCACCACTTCCGGCTTTTTTCTTTTTGCTTATGTGGTGCTGAGGAATCGAACCCAGGGCCTCATGCTTGCAAGGCAAGCGCTCTACCACTAAGCCACCTTCCCAGCCCCGGATTATATAGATTTGTATTTATATATTATTCTTAAGTAGTTGCATAAAGGGGTTTCAATTCAACAGGTAAGAATAGAGCTTAAAACAATATGATGAGCTTGGTATTGGTAGCTCTCGCCTATAATCCTAGTCAGGAGGCTGAGATTTGAGGATCACAGTTTGAAGTTAGCCTGGGCAGATAAATCCAAAGGACACTTAATCTCCAACTGACCACCCAAATACTAAAAGTGGAGTTGTGGCTCAAGTAGTAGAGGCCAGCCTGAAATGACTAGGCCAAGGATCAGAGGCCAGATGCTGAATTAAACCCGCAGTTTAGAGGGGATCTTGTTAGGCATTCCAGACTGACCTCTAACTTCAACCCTCCTGCCTCAGTTTCTCAGGTGCTGGCTTTATAGGTGAGCACCACAATGCCTGGCGGGAGGCGGGGGTGGGGTGGGACTTGAACTCAGAGCCTGGGTGCCGTCCCCGAGCTTTTTTGCACAAGGCTAGTGTTCTTCCACTTTGAGCCACAGCTCTACTTCCTACTTTTGGTGTGTTTTTTGTTTGTTTGTTTTTGACCACTTTATTGCAAAGGCTTGAGTGAAGTCTGGCTAACCATGCTGAAATGTGATTGGATGGAAAGGGGGTGCTAATAAAGTCTGGCCTCTGTAGCATTTCTCCCTTGGGGTACGGCACAGAGCTCCTCTGCCCTGGGAAGGTTCTGTGATCTAGGTAGGTGAGAGAATTATTTTAAGTCAACTAAAGGCTGAAAAAGATTTCTCTCTCTCTCTCTCTGTGTGTGTGTGTGTGTACTAGTCCTAAGGCTTGAAATGAGGGCCTGAGCACTGTTTTTTTTTTTTTTTTTTTTGCTCAGGGCTAGCACTTTACCACTTGAGCCAAACACACACAGCTCCATTTTGGACAGTTCTGGTGTTACATTGGAAATGAGTCAATAGACTTTCTTGCCCTGGCTGGTTTTGAACATCTTTTATCTTCTGATCTCTAAGTAATTAGGATTACAGATGGGAGCCATCATTACCTGGCTTGCCTTCTACTTTTATACTATACTTTAGAAAGTCACAAATGGTTACATAGTGCATTTCCATTCCCATCTCCCTGCACTCAAGCACTGAAAATGCCAGCCTTCAGAGGGATGGGTGGGAAGGCTCAGCCTATGGAAAGCAGTAGTTAGATCTGACAGTCCAGGGAGACCAGTAGAGTGGGACTAGAAGGAGTAAGTGTTCTTGACCACAAATCTCCATCCTAAAACATCTAGATGAAGCCCTCTAAGCCCTGCAGCTCCCAGTCAATCTTTTTGTTTGTTGTTATTTTTTGTCAGTTGTGGGACTTGAACTCTGGGCCTAGGCCCTGTCTCTGAGCTCTTCAGCTCAAGGCTAGTGCTCTAGCACCTTGAACTTCAGTACCACTTCCAGTTTTCTGGTGTTTAACTAGAGGTTAGAGTCTCACGAACAGTGATCCTCAGATCTCAGCCTCCTGAGTAGATAGGATTACAGGTGTGAGCCACCAGCGAATAGTTCCAGTCAATCTTTACCTGAATGGCTCACCTCACCCCTTTTGGTAAATTCCTGCTTTGCTAATACATAACCATTTGTTATATTACTACACTAGGAGCAGTGTTCCAATTTTAGGCACTATACTCAAGAGCCTAGGGATTTCTGGAACAGATACTCAGCTTTCAGTCTCTTAAGTAGCTAGGATTGATTACTCACTTCCAGGCTGGTCTTCAACATGGTATTAAATGGTGGGATTACAGGCTTTCATTACCACTCCCAGCCTATTTTTCTGTGATTTTTTTTTAAGTTTTGATTTTGCCAGAAGCTGGTAATTCATACCTACAATTCTAGCTTCGCAGTAGGCTGAGATCTGAGGATCACAGTTCACAGCCAGCCCAGACAAGAAAGTCAATGAGACTCATCTATACACACACACACACACACACACACACACACACACACACACACACATACACACACAAGCTGGAAGCTGAGCTGTGACATAAATGGTAGAGTGTCAGCCTTGAGCTGATAAAACCCAGGCCCCAAGTTTCAAGCCCCAGTACCAGCACAAAAGGAAAAAAAAATTAATTTCAAGTTTCTGCTTTTATTGCAGTCAAGTAGTCAGTCTAGAGGTAGGTTTCTGAAATAGAAATCGACCTCCATTTCCATACTTTTCTCCCTAAACCCTCCAAACCAACCAGCCAACCAGCTCACCAACTTGGTAAGCAGGTCTCTGGTGAGCTGGTATCTGGCACCTCTCCATTCTGCCACACACTGTTTCCGTGGTTTCCTTAGTACCCAGGAAATACTGTCAGTCTTCTAATTTTCTGTTGCTAAGGCCTGGAATGCTGGTCCCACTTTAATTTAGTTAATCATTTCCTCTGGGGGATGGGGGAGTGGCTTTGAGGTAGAGCACTCCACCTCCTCAGGACTGCAAAACTAAACCAAACCAAAGCCCCCCTAGCCCTCAGCCACAGGGGCCTCCATTTTAGCTTTAATCCTATTATGTATAATTTAGCTGGCAGATTTAATCTGTGTTGCGGCTCCCTCACAAGGCATGCCATCCAGTCTCCTATATGTACTTGGCACTCAGAATAGATACCTCAAAACCTCAGTGCACCTCCAGAGAACAAATCAGAGATCAATCATTTTGTCTGTCTGTCTGTCTCTGTCTTCCTGGGGCTTGAACTCTGGGCCTGGATGCCTTCCCTGAGCTTCTTGTACAAGGCAAGCACTCCACCACTGCCGCCACCTCCTGCTCTTTTTAATAGGTTATTGGAGATGCGTCTCCTGGTTTTTTCTGCCTGGGCTGGCTTCGAACCTGCGATGCTCCGATGTCAGCCCTCTGATTAGCTAGGATTCCAGCCGGTGCGGACCACCGGCTCAAATGCACGGTTTGAGGATCATACATGTGGTCCCGGCCCAGTCGAGGTCCAAGTGGGCTGAGGAGGCCGAACCCGGAGGAGGGACGCTCCTTCCAGGAATGAATACAGCCGGGGGCAGACCCACGGTCCCGCTCACCATCGCCCGACGTGGAATCTGCGTGATGGATCCTAGTTTGCTTTTGCTTTTGAAATTTTTGTGCTGGTCCTGGGGCTTGAACTCAGGGACTGGGCTCTGTCTGAGGTCTCCCCCCCACTCCCGCACCCCACTGCAGGGGTATCTCTAATCTCGGGGCTCCACTAGCGGAGCCCCAGGAGGCCGTTCCCGCCTGGGCTGGCTGGGAACTGCGATCCGCGCATCTCAGCCGCCGTCCCGGTTCTCCGGCCCAGGCCACCCACACTTCCGGGCCTCCGCGGGACCCCGGACGGGGTCGTGTGACCCCCACCCCACCCCCACCCCCTGACCCCGAGGGAAGGGGAAGTCAAGCCACACTTGCGCAACGGCCTAGGGTGCGACCTCCCCGGCGGGCATCCCCCGGGGGCGGGCGGGCCGCCCTCTCCACCCCCGGCCCGAGTCACCCCCCCCTTTCCGTCCCCGTCCCGGAAAGCGACCGGA